GACTTCTCATGCGCGCCGTATCGCTCGAAATTGTCGCATGGGACTGGCAACTCTTGTCGCGACTCTTCTTAAAAACGAAAGAACGCTGTTTTCAGATGGCGCCACGGACGGTAAAATAATTCGGTTGGAAGTTATGATCAAGCAACGAACAATACTTCTCATGCGCGCCGTATCGCTCGAAATTGTCGCATAGGACTGGCAACTCTTGTCGCGACTCTTTTTAAAAACGAAAAAACGCTGTTTCCAGATGGCGCCTCGGACGGTAAAATAATTCGGTTGGAAGTTACGATCAAGCAGCGAACGACTTCTCATGCGCGACGTATCGCTCGAAATTATCGCATGGGACTGGCAATTTTTGTCGCGACTCTTCTTAAAAACGAAAGAACGCTGTTTTCAGATGGCGCCACTAACGGTAAAATAATTCGGTTGGAAGTTACGATCAAGCAGCGAATGATGCTTCTCATGCGCACCGTATCGCTCGAAATTGTTGCATGGGACTGGCAATTCTTATCGCGATTCTTCTTAAAAACGAAAGAACGCTGTTTCTAGATGGCGCCACGGTAAAGTAATTCGAATTCGGTCGTTACGTTTAGAAGTTACGATATGTGGAAAGGGGAAAGGAATTTGTTTGCACGTCTGATATTTAATTCGCGTTAATCGAGAGAAATAAAAATCTTGCGAAGGAAAGGAAAGGAAAGAGAGAGAAAGAGAGAAAAGAGAGAGAGATTTTTGTGGAAAGAGAGAAAAGAAAGCGAAAGGGGATTGTTATCGAAGGTGGAATATTAATAAATAATATATAAATATATAAATAATAAATAATATTAATAAATAAGAGAGGAAAGAAAGTTGGATGCGGGAGAATGAGGGGAGGTTAAAATGAAGGCTGTGGAAGCTGCGTGCGTGCCAAAACTGCGAAGGTATTTATCCGGAGGCTCGGATTAAACGAGAAGAAGCGAGGAGAAAGCGAGAGAAGTCTCTCTCTTTCTGCGTTTAGCCTGAATTCGCGCGTTGCACCTCGACAGGGACCTCTAATAACTTTCCCAATTAGAGAATCATTTTTATCCATATTTAATATAAACCTTCGTACATCTCGAAATTCATGAGTCTTCAAAAATCTCGCGTTCGAATACTTCACTTTCGATGTTTCAACTTTCCCAATTAGAGAATCATTTTTATTCATATTTACATAAAGCTTCGTACATCTCGAAATTCTTAAGTCTCCAGAAAAACTCGCGTTCGAATATTTCACTTCCGATACTTTTCCAATTAAATAATCATTTTTATCCATATTTATATAAAGCTTCGTACATCTCGAAATTCCTATTTAAATTTCCAAAAAATTCGTGTTTCAATACTTCAACTTTCCCAATTAGAGAATTATTTTTATCCATATTTATCTTAATCTTAACCTTAACCATCTCGAAATTCTAAATCGAAATTCTAAATCTCCAAAGAAAAATCTCGAGTTCGAATATTTCACTTTCGATATTTCAACTTTCCCAATTAAATAATTAAATAATTTTTATATTTACCTTAAACGTTAACCATCTCGAAATTCCTAAATCTCCAGAAACCTCGCGTTCGAGTATTTTCCTTTCACCCTTCGATTCGATCGCGCACCTCGACAACCGATCGTTCAACCGCGAGTTTTAATCGTGGCTCGCAAGACGTGGCCCACGTGCGAGCACGTATTCGAGAAGGAGGAAGAGGATTTAGCCAGATGAAATACGGTTTGTCCAATTAAGTCGCGATAAGATCATCGGGTGGCGCTGGGTGGCGAGTTTTAAAACGACTTCAT